TTCCGGACGAGGACATTGCGTTTATTTATACACTTGAAAAACCTTCTTCCCTAGGTATGGATTAAATAACATGGTAGATTTTATTGGCAAACAATTTAGGAGAAGGGCAGCACTGAATTCAAAACCAGTTGATAATGAGGCTGGCATCTCTACCCGTAAAAAATAATTACTTTATACAGAATCTACCGCAGCAACACATAACATGGTGATGCTTGTTACACTCACAATATAAAAAAGGCATCTTCATTAAATAATTATACATTGTCTCTTCAGTGTGTTTCACTGTGGAAAGAGTTAACCTTGAAAAGCAAGCGTTTTGTGTTAAACACTCGGATTATATCCAAATTAGAAGAATTAGTCTGCTCATTCATAATCACGATAGAGTTCCTCCATAAATCTTTTCACGACTTAAAAGATGACATTTCTTGAGCATTCCCGTAGGCTGATTAAAGAGATTATTCTTCTGAATATTCTGCGCCCATACGCCAAAATTTGCCAACCCAAAAGACTACGCTACCATTCTTCTTATATATACACACAAACATGGACAGTTTTTGTAGACTCTCACACCCACCAAACGGAAAAAAATGTAAGAACGCTGAAAAACATAAATAAAATTAGTTAAACTGTCCGTCATCTTTAACGAACGATGTTTGATGTTCATATATATATATATATATATATATATATATATATATATATATATATATATATATATGAACAGCAAAATTGTCCAAATCGAGTAACAGCATAATTATCCAACCCGCAAAATATTTAATATCTAAATAATACTACTAAACTAATTGAGTTCCTTTTTTCTATGTTTTCAGATAACACGTTTAGCCATTCTAACATCATATGTCGTAAGAATCACTGAAAAAGCATTTGCGTTATTCAGCTAATAAGAAAGCAGGTTAAATTTGTTTTGTGTCAGGCTCACTGTCTTCCCAACTGAGAAATGGTGAAAGAAAAAAGATCATTCAGGTCTTCAGTAATGGTACCAACATTCATAATCTGGTTTTCATCTTCGAATTCCATTCAAGAACCATCAAGAAAACGGTGAATAATTTTATATTCCGTGAAGAGGAGACGGGAAAAATGGATCAGAAGGTCACAACAGGAAGAGAGATCATCATTTAAGCTCATAGTTCAAGAGATCAATTAGAAAACATTCAACTCAATTTATAAGGCGTTTGGCACGTGAGAGAAGAGTTTCAGCTATGTTAGTTCAAAGAGCAATGAAAAAAAACTTGAAAATGAAATCGTACGTGAATCCTATGAAGCAGCATGTTACTTCAGGACAGGAAATTAGATGGTTAGAGGGGACGAAGATCATCTTGAATAAGAGGGAAAATGAACCTGGAATAATATACATATATTTGAATTTTATTTCAGTACTTCAAGAGCTTTCGATCCTTAGTTATGTTTACTTAATGATGAACATGTCAGTTTCGTTTATGATCGATTATATCACGATACTTCTGTTAAGCTTAGAGAGTAATTATACATTGCTCAAAGTAGATTCCAATGGTGTTATAATATCCCGGAGAATTCCATTAAGATATTTTTAGTAATTTCTAAGATACAACGGTTCAGAGCTTAATCTAACAATTGGACAATTCTGCTGTTACACCCGGTATCTATCTATCTATCTATCTATCTATCTATCTATCTATCTCTATATATATATATTTTGACAGTTTTGTCATTTAACTTGATATCATTATTGTTTTCATTTCAGTTAACGATGACATATTTTTAGGTACATTTTTTTATCTTAAAATAATACACTGACGTTTCATAGCAGTATGTAAGGGTAATGTTGGTTGGAGCCACCGTAATGGAATTACCTAGACCTATATCAGTTGTGTTCTAGCATCTTGTGAGTAAGAGTGAACACGAGCTGAGCTGCTCATAGCAAGGCAATGTGAATTATCAGCTTTAAAACGGGTATGTTAGTGGATGGGGCAATGTATTTGCGAAATTTTGGGAACGTTTCGTATACCTCGATCTACGTTGTAACGTTTGTACCTGGAATATCTACTAGAAAGCATTATCATCCACCGGGAGAAACGTAGTGACTGAACACAAGACCTTTGTAATTGTAACCAAAGACATCTGGTTGGAATTAACATATAAGCGACCCTGGCTCAAATCGCATCTATGTTCAATGCAAAAGACGCAAATCCAGTAGGTAAGTTTAGCATTTATCATAAATACACATTAACGTCTCCTTGTTAACACCATATGGCGACAGTGTTTCACCTGCCTTGTTACGTCACTAAGTAAACTCTGTAGTCCGATGAGTCACTGTTTCAATTGTTTTGGACTGGCGTTAGGATTCGAACAGACCTTGAATCCAAGTTTCAACAAGGAACTGTGCAGGCCGATGACGGCTCCATTGGGACGAGAGGTATGTTCAAATGAAAAGGTTTGGGTTCACTGGTCCACTTTAACACACATTTGACCAGTGACCCTACAACGATAGGAAAGCAGAACATTTGGCCAAAACTGATCACACGAGCATTCGAGAAACTTCCGACGAATGTTGTAGTCATCCGGTTCACCCAATGCAGTAGTGAAATTCGCACGTATGATTCGGAACCTACAAATATCTGAGTTGTGTAGATATGCCAAAATTATATGACTTTAACAGCTCAGCAGAGATCTTTCGATCAATTGTAGAATCGATACCATTTCTAGCTGTTGCACTTCAGGTTACACGATTCTGACATGATACTCGTCAACTATTCTATCTTTTGGTGTGTTAGTGTAGATTATTTAATAGTCAACATTGAATTTTATTCTATTATTTTAAAAAAAATTTCTGACAAATATGAATGAAAACTTCATTTCCTGATTTTCGTGTTTCCGCCTTTTAGGGACAAACTGTGAGTAAATCAACAGTAAGAAGAGAAATTGGCCCAAACTATCAATCAATTATGAAGATTTATCGGCTGTAGGGAAAACATTATGAAAATTCCTCAACCAGAGAACTCGATGCAAACATCAATTTCCCCATTGGAAGTATTTTAGATGAGTTCAGGATGATTGGAAAATAAAAAAAAATTCGATAAATGTGTTCCATTTTAATGAGGAATGAAAAAATCAGATGGAATCCCGTATTAATCATGTCCATCAGTACGAAATTGATCCGTTTTTTACATCGTATCATGATATGCGATGAAAAATGAGATAAAAATGAAAATTGGATTTTGTATAACCAGAGAAGAACTGTAAAATGGTTGGATGACGTTGAAAAGTGGATGCCTCAATTGGAAACATACTATAATCTGCATAAATTCATGGCAAGTTAATGTTGAAACAGAAGTGGTTTCATATATCATAATTATCCTCAGTCCCATGACCAGGTATGGTCGTATAGCAGGAGTGCAGATGCATATTGGACCAGTTATATATGGAATGAAAGCCGTATTCATTCACATGTAGCATGTCTTAGGTAAGTAAAGCTAGCGGAGCCCATCCCTCACCAGGTCAAAGCACAGCTGATGTTCTCCCATTTGAAAGATCGTCTTGATTAGGGATCGTTGATTTCATCGATGAAACCCTCCGCCCTTCCCACTGACTTCAGTATAGGAAGCCCTTTTAAGTGATTTGCTCTTAATTCTATCAAGAAAAGAAGCTTTGTCATATTTTGTAATGTTATTTTGACTTTCTCGATTTGATTATTGCAAGTAATCAGTAATTAATAATGTATTCCTGGAAGAGCTCGAATATTAAAAAGTTTGTCTTTCCATATGATGCCATAACAAATGAAAAGGTAAATATTTCATATTTTTCCTTTCGTATTTAGTGGCACTCTTTTTGGTTTTAGCATTGTTTCATTTTTTTAAAGCTGCTCATCTTATGCCTGTTTTCTAATTTAGTGCAGTGACATGATTGCTGGAAGCTGAGCGTTTGTACCCCACATATACAAAGTCAGTAATAGGTTTACTGTAATTTTTTGTCGCAGTAACTGAAATTCTCCCGATACATTATTTAGCAAACCAGAAAATTGAGGGCAGCACTGAGGTTAGAGTTGGTTGAAATCTACACAAGCAATAACATTCAAATATATAGAAAAATACCTAAGCATGGGGAATAAAAAATAAATGACATTTATTAATGTTATCCAACCTCCAATGTATGTGAACGTGCGTGAATTTGCGTTTGTTGCATGAATTTGAATTCAGGTTATATTAAGTGAGCAAAGAGAGTTGATAATACAAACAAGAAAAATTGGTTAACAAGTTAGAACATGTGAAGAAGAAGAAAAAACAGAAATGAAGTGACTTATTTATATTATAGACGGGAACTATAATCTCCCCTCTCGACTTTTCTCTGCAATAGATAGAGATCCTGAGAAATGAATAAAATTGGCACGTGGTTGAATGTATTCAAATATTAATCGACCAGACTGACGTCTTAAAATTTATAGAGGGATGATACGTGCTAAAGATACTTGGAAAATAGTAACGAAAAACTCAAATCAACTACATTAAACGATAATACTGCTTAAACAATTCGTGAATAATACATTCAGGGTTCATTGGTAATGGTTTGGTACCCGACGTGACTCAGGATTAAATATATTTGCTTATCCGTCTCTCTCTTTATCTTTGACCTTCTCTTTTCATATAAATACGCTTTGTTTATATGAACAAATTGTTAAATTGTTCTATCTCTTTATCTTTCTCTCTCTCTCTCTCTCTCTCTCTCTCTCTCTCTCTCTCTCTCTCTCTCTCTCTCTCTCTCTCAGTATATATTCTATAAATGTTATTTTTAGGGGGTACATTTTATGTCAATCGGCCCCGATCGAGAAATTCGGCAAAAGAAAAAGAAGCTTCTTGGTAGCAACCGAATCTGTGAGCATTTTCCATCGGAAAAACCACTACTTTAAGATAAAGCATATAATATATATATATATATATATATATATATATAGAGAGAGAGAGAGAGAGAGACAGACAGACAGACAGACAGACAGACAGACAAACAAATCATTTAATTTTATTCTCAATGTGTTGTTCTGATGAGGTAGATAGGTAGATACAGTTGATGTGGGTGTTAACCGATAGATACATATGATGATAGATACAGGTGACGTTGGTGTGAATAGATAGATAGATAGATAGATAGATAGATACGGTTGATATTCGTACGAGCAGATAGATATATATAGTTGATGCTAGATTGAACAGATATATAGAGTTGATGTTGGTGTGAACAGATCGATAGATACAGTTGATATTGGTGGTGACAGATAGATAGATAGATAGATAGATAGATAGATAGATAGATAGATAGATAGATAGATAGATAGATAGATACAGTTGATGTTGGTGTGAACAAATAACTAGATAAATATATATAGTTGATGTTGTTGTGCACAGATAGATACTGTTGATGTTTGTGTCAACAGATAGACACAGCTGATGTTGGTGTGAGCAGATAGATCGATACAGCGGATGTTCGTTTTGGTAGATACATAGATAGATTCATAGATACGGATGTCCTTGGTGTAGATAGATTGATATATACTGTTTTTGTGATAGATAGATAGATAGATAGATAGATAGATAGATAGATAGATAGATAGATAGATAGATAGATTTGACGTTGGTTTGAACAAATTTGATAGATACAATTGATGATGGTGTGAGCACATACATAGATTCTGTTGATGTCAATGTGAACTGATATATAAATGCTGTTGATGTTGGTTTGTAAAAATAGAAAAATACATAGATACATTTGATTTTTGTGTTAACAGGTAGATAAATAGATAGAGCCAGTTGATGTTGTGAACAGATAAATATATAGATACAGTTTTTGTTGTTGTGGGTAGATAGATAGATAGATAGATAGCGTGTACACTCAAATATTACTCGGATTTTTACTTCATTACTTTAAAATCCATATGCAATGTATTATATTAGGAGTAATTATTAGCATTAGGCATGAATTCGTTAAAATAAGGAAGACTAATATGATCAACTAATATTTTATGCAAAACTGTGCGACGCTTTAATAAGATTACAATTTTATGAATTAACTCACCATTTTAATGTTTCATTTAACTTTGAAGGGACTATAGATTTATGGATAACCTATTTTACCGATTTTTCACACAAAATCCACTTCAAACGAATTCGTGATTTATATTTTAAAATTCAAGATACGTAGATTTGAAGAATTTTACTATTATGATCCAATTAAATATTTCCTAAATTTAGCAGGGCACCTCGTTATGGGGGAACTTACTACAGCATCGTATACGAGCGAGATTAGTTTGCTAATCCATACCTTGTTATTTAGAAGAATTTTGTATTCATAACGCACTTAATGAAGACAGGAAACAATACTTTAGGTAAAAATATTGTTTCCGGTATTTCACCTAAAAAAAATAGGGTGGTATTAGGCAAAATCTATCATTTTCACTACATTTCATTTTTCAAGAAATATATATATATATTAAAGTGAACATTGAAGTCAACACTCAGAGGCGACAGGCTGTTTCATGCTAGGCGCAATCGTCAGGCCGCCTGTCAATTGCGTCTAGTATGAAACAGCCTGTCGCTTCTGAGTTTTGACTTCAATGTTCACTTTTATATTTATATTCACATACGCTCTGTCTCTGATATTGAGCACTTTATCCCATAAATATAGAACACCTAGAACTATATATATATATATATATATATATATATATATATATATATATATATGATTTTCTACTTTTCTGTACGTAAAAAAGCTCTACATGTTACATTTTATCTTTTTTTATATGCGTACTGAGCACTTTTAATACCACTGTTTCCTGGTTTAATTCAACTCTGACAATTAACTTCTGTATTATTATTATTATTATTATTATTATTATTATTATTATATATATATATATATATATATATATATATATATATATATATAAAAGCCTGAATGTTCCACAAAATTGAATTATATACGAATATATATCATAATTTGGGGGCTGTAAATTTAACATATTCCCATTTAACAGTAAGTAAATTAATATGTATAAGATGTTCAATTCCGTTATTTTTCCGTTTAAAGATAGATAACACGCTTCGTGGTATTTTTTTAATATTAATTATCACCTTCCCGGTGCTGCACATCAATAATACAAGTAAATAAGAACTCTTTTCTGATAAATATCGTCCTTCGTTGCATATTTATGCCAAAGAGAATAACTCATCGGCACCCATCTCCTCTCAAAATAAAACAAGTCAGATAAGTTTGGATTACATGTTAGTATCATAAATCCATGTGTCCTTCATTTGACTGGTCATCCTGAACATAAGGACAATCTGACACGGGGCAGGGAAAAGTGGAATCGTGCTTTCCCCAAAGATAGTAAATCAAAATGAACACATAAAGTTTACACCTTTGTGCAACTAATAGTTAAACACGCAAGCTAAAAAGTAAAAATCAATAACATCGAGTAGAGAGAAATTCACAGGAAACATTAGCACAAAGTATGTTAGTTTTATGAGTTTCCAAACCCAATATAAAATAGTTACTATTTATCTACTTTGGGGGCTCGTCACGTTAAAGTGACAAGTGCCAGTTTTGGATGGTTCTTCAGATTTTATGCTTTTCCAGCCCTCTTGAAAGTCGAAAGTTGAAATTCGAATGCGACAGAGTTGAACGTAACAGAAAGAAAGAGTCAGCGGTTGTTAGATTATTTATTTACTGTATTTCAGTTTTAATGGACCTTTCATATCTCCAGCAAGTAACCAGTTCGGACATGTTTCAATTAATCGCATTTTAAAAACTAAGACTTTCGAGCAAAAATATCACCAAATATTAAAAAATGAAGAATGCATGGTGACATTTCATCTTTCGCATGTAAAGATCCATAAGTTAATATCCACGCACATACAAGTACAAGAATGTGCCCGGGCACGTATAGATAGATAGATAGATAGATAGATAGATAGATAGATAGATAGATAGATAGATAGATAGATAGATAGATGTCAAATATACATACATTAGTGAACGTAATGTTTCGTGTTTTAACAAGATTGATATGCGAGAAAGCTGAAGGAAATATAAATGGAAAAGAATTTTAAAAGCTTAAAAAACGAGAGTGGAACGAAATAAACTGTGAAAAAAATAAATGATAAAAAAGATAGATTCAAAGTAAGTAAATAAGAATAGAATGAGAAAGTAAGTAAATAAGAATAGAATGAGAAAAAGAATGCACATAGAAAGAAAGTTGAAAGGAAAGCATGAAAATGACGCACGTCGTCAAACTTACTTGTAAATTTCGCAAACTACTTTCAAAGCATTTTTAATTGAATCATCTTAACGTTATGAATCAATTGCAACGCTTGGAAATCATCAGATACGAAACTTGTCTGCTCTGGGAAAACTTAACTCCGAAAGCGGGAAAAACAAATTCTGATTTCAAGATCTGAAACAATAACAGAACATGTAGGAAATTGTTTCCACTGAAATAATAGGTGTTAAACGGTCGATTATCGTTGTGGTTTAGGTGTACTTTTCAAAGATTTACAGACAAGCGAATAAACAAAAACGAATTTTCAAAATATATAGTTCACGATTATTTATAATTGTTAAAACATACCAGTGATTTAAGATAAAAGTAACATCATACCTTAAAAACTTTTACCTATTTCTACCTGATGAACGACACTGACAAAAAATAAAATGAAATAATCCAACAATCCTCGGCCACAGTCGGTAAGATGAATTTGTAACTAAATTAGAAAGGGGAGTTTTCTTTCTCTTTCTATCTCACCCACTTTGTTTTCTCTCTAGCTCTTTCTTGAATTTTCTAAATATTAATAATAATAATAATACCTAGGTTTATCTGTGTTGCGATGACGACTTGACGACGTGACTGCCAAATGTTTTCGCCGTTGATTATGTTAGTAGGAAAACGGATTAGAGTCTCAGCTGCTTTTACCGAACGAGAACACGTGCAATTCTTAATCGGCTGTCTTAGGCAGAGGTAGACAAAGCATAGAAACATGTTGATGTCGACTTGTTAAAGGTCATACTGTAAATTTTCCCTAGTTTCAATACTGGCTGTCTTACAGCATCAAAATACCTAAGAATCGTGCTACAACGCCACAACACTCTTTGACATGACTGATTTTCATATGCGTATTTAACAGCATAGACATTAACACATGCTCTCTCTTTCTCTCTCTTTCTCACTATCATATATATATATATATATATATATATATATATATATAATATGAATTTAATTATGCATGTGTCTCAAGCAGTCCGGTATTATTTCGAAATCTGAATATGTCTGAAGCGTTTCAATTTTAACATTCAATTATAGTTTTACTTTTCACCAATATTTTCAAACAGGAGAATGTATGTGTGTGCCAGAGAGAGGAGAGTAAGTGTGGGTCAGAGAGAGAGAGAGTGAGAGAGAGAGAGGATGCGTCAGGGTGTGTGTGTATGAGTAAAACTGTGTCAGTGCGTGTGTGTGTGTGAGTTTCTGTCAAACAAAACTAGATTGTGTGTATCTTTTAGAGCGAGATAGAGTGTGTTTGTCTGTTAGAAATGTAAAGTGTGCGTGTGTGTCAGAGATATAGTGTGTGTGTGTGTGTTAGAGAGATAAATAGTTTGTGACTGTCAGAGAGAGACAGTGTATGCATGTCAGAGATAGATAGAATGTGTGTGTGTGAGAGAAATATAATGTGTGTCTATCTGTCAGAGAGAAATAATGTGTGTGTGTGTGTCATACAGTGATAGAGTGTGTGTGTCTGTCATAGAGAGATAGTGCGTGTGTGTGTCAAAGAAAGTGCGTGTATCAGAGGGAGATAGTGTGAATCAGAATGTGTATGTGTATCAGAGAGAGATAGAGTGTGTACGTGTGTGTGTCAGAGAGAGATAGAAAGTGTGTTTGTGTGTGTCAGAGAGAGAGAGAGAGGGAGAGAGAGATTATGTGTGTGTGTGTCAGAGAGGGATAGATTGTGTGTGAGAGAGAGATAGAATGCATTTGTATGTTAGAGAGATATAGTGTGTATTTGTGTCTGTCAGAGTGTGATAGTGTGTATAAGTGTCAAAGAGAGATAGAGTGTGTGTGTGTCAGAGATAGACTGTGTGTGCGTGTGTGTTTGTGTGTCAGATACAGTGTTTGTGTGTTTGTCAGAGAGAGATAGAGTATGTCTGTGTGTGCGTATGTGTCAGAGTGCATATGTGTGAGTTAGAAAGACAGAGACAGAGTGTTTGTTTCCGTGTGAGTGTGTGCGCGCCAGAAAAAGATAGAGATAGTGTGTTTGTGTGTGTGTGTGTATTTATGCGTGCCAGAAAGAACGACAGAGAAAAAATGCGTGCCAAAAAGACAGAGATGGTGAATGCGTGCCAGAAAGAGAGAGAGGAAGAATGCGTGCCAGAAAGACAGAGAGAGAGAGAGAATGCATGACAGACAGATAGAGAGAATATGTGCCATTCATAGAGAGAGAGTATGTCTGTGTGTGCGTGTCAGAAAGAGTGTGTGTGTGTGTGTGTCAGAAATACACAAAATGTGTTTGTGTGTGTGTCAGAAGACAGAGTGAGAAAATGAAATAGATAAGTGTGTTGTGTGTGTGTGTGCCAGAAAGACAGACAAAGAGATAAAGTGTGTATGCGGGTGCATGTATGCGTGCCAGAAAGAGAGAAAGAGAGAATGCGTGTCAGAAAGGCAGAGAGAGAATGTGTAACAGAAAGACAAAAATACAGCGAGAGAGAGAGAGAGAGAGAGAGAGAGAGAGAGAGAGAGAGAGAGAATGCGTGCTTGAAATATAGACAGAAAATGCGTGCCGGATGGAGAAAGTATGCTACAGTTAGATAAAGAGAATGCGTGCCAGAAAGAGAGAGAGAGATAGAAAAGGAGAATGCTTGCCAGAAGGACAGAGAGAGAGAGAGATTTTGCTTACGGGAAAAAACGGAAAATAACAGTGCGTACCAGAAAGACACACAGAGAGACAGTGAGTGTCAGAAAGACAGAGAGCGAAAGAGAGGCAGTGAATATCAGACATAGAGGTAGTGTGTGTATGTGTGTGTGTCAGACATAGAGGTAGTGTGTGTGTTTGTGCGTGTGTATCTGTGTGTGTGTGCATAAGTCAGACAGATAGAAGGTGTGTCTGTGACTTTATCAGACAGTGAATGTTTGTAAGACAGGGGAGGGTGATAGTATTTTTGTGTGTGTGTGTGTGCGTGACAGAGTGTGTGTATCAGACAGAAGGAGAATTTGTATCAGACAGTGTGTGTGTGTGTGTGTGAGAGAGAGAGAGAGAGAGAGAGACATGCAAAGAAAGAGTGTGTGTCAGTTAGAGAGTGTGTATGTGTCAGACCGAGAGTGAGAATGCGTGCCAGATAGATAGTTAGAGAGAGAGAAAGACTGCATACCAGGAAGAAAGAGAAAGAATGCGTGTCAGTAAGACAGAGAGAGAGAAATAGAGAGTGCGTGCCAGAACGAGAAAGAGAGAATGAGAATACGTGCCAGAAAGACAGAGAGAGAGAGAAAGAGAGAGAAAGAGAATGCGTGCCAGAATGACAGACTGAAAAACAAAGAGAATGCGTGACAGAAAAACACACAGAGAGAGAGAGAGAGAGAGAGAGAGAGAAAGTTTGCGTACCAGAAAGATAGAGAAAGACAGTGCGTGTCAGAAAGACAGAGAATGACAGTGTACCTCAAAAAGACTGTGACAGAGACAGTAAGTGTTAGAAAGACAGAGCGAGAAAGCGTGTGAATGTATGTGCATCTGACGGAGGCAGTGTGTATGTGTGTCTATCAGACATAAAGCTAGTGTGTGTGCGTCAGACAGAGAATGTTTTTCAGACAGGAGAGAGAGAGAGAGAGAGAATGTGTGTGTGTGTGTGTGTGTGTGTGTGTGTGTGTGTGTGTGTGAGGCAGATAGAGAGTGTGTGTGTGTGTGTCAGAGAATGTTTGTTTGTCAGAGGGGGAGAGAGAGATGTGTGTGCGTGTGTGTGTGACAGAGTGTGTGTTTGTCAGACTCAGAGAGAGGTGTGTCAGACAGAGTGAGAGAGAGTGGAGGAACAGTGTGTGTGTGTCAGAGTGTGTGTGTATGTCTCATAGAGTATGTGTGTGTATCACAGAGTATGTGTGTGTCTCAGTGTGTGTGTGTGTGTGTGTGTGTGTCAGTAAGAGAGAGTATGTTTGTGTCATAGAAAGAGTGTGTGTGTGTGTCAGACAGAGAGAGAGGGAGTGTATGTCAGACAGAGATAGCCTGTCTATCAGAGAACGAGAGCGTCTGTGGGTATCAGACAGAGAGAATGTGTCAGTCAGAGAGAGAGAGAGAGAGAGAGAGAGAGTGTGTGTCACACATGGTATGTGTGAAACACAGAGAGAAAAAAAATGTGTTTCAGACAGGTGAGTGATAGATATGAAGCAGTTGTACTTACCCAAATTTGAATTTGCCGCCCAGGCTCGAGAAGACACTATGAAATCGTGTCTGGTCGTAGTTAACAGACACGAGGAGGATTGTAGAAAACGTAAGTGGGTGTAAGAAAGAAGAAAAAGAAAATGCAACAGACGCTATAAGAGTAAAGATAAGATAACGCGGTGAATAGTAGGAAAATAAAAGCAACGGAAGAAAAAATGTAGTGGATAATTATAAATATTTAAATGAGTTAAATGGAATGTGTATTTTTCACTCACAAAAAAAGGACAATTTGAATGTGCCTGTGTGTGTCTTATCCTATATTTTGATTTCTATAAACAAAATAAAAAGAGGAAAAAACTTTTTCAAAGAAATAAATAAAATGAAACAATTCTGAGAAGAAATGATATTCAAATACACAGGTAATGTTGCATTTGATTTTTTTTTTTTTTTTTGGCAGTGGGCGGAAGTTATGTAAAAAATCGAGAAAAAAAAATCAGCAAAAAAAAAAAAATCAAAATAAAGAAGAAAATTAAAAATTAATAGTAACAAAAATTAAGTTAAACGCGAGAAATGAAAAAAACTTGCAATGTGAAAAACGCTTACAACGCGGAAGAGTGAATCGGATTTTAAGATGAAACAGTTTGGGTCATCGGTAAAAATACACGGAAAAGATCAAAGTGGTTCCAATTAAAATATACGCATGTCATTTAAATGTATGCTATTTTTAGAATGTGCAAAGGTAAAGAAAATAAATGCATAGTAGGTGGAGAAGGAAAAGGGGAGGAGTCTTATTGAAAATGGAAGACAAGCCAGTGGGTTGAATGTAAGGGATATAAAGTCAGAGTAAGTAATGATGAGAAAGGAGAAACGGTCAGTGTAAAAGAATGGAAGAGAATATGAATTTGGAAGCAAATAGAGCGAAATGTGGATAAAGCAAAAGAATTGGAAAAGGTTGAAGAAGAAGAATGATAAAAGTAAAAAAAAAATGAAATTCAATAAAAAAAAAAAATGGAGGCGAAAGAACTCGTAAAAACTAAATGAATATCAAAGTATTTACGAGGAGATGATAAAGAAAAAAAGAATGGAGAAAGAAAGGAAGAAAAAAAGATACTGAATAAGTTCAAGAGCAGAAGAAGAATGAAAAAAAAGCGAGTGGAATAAGAAGAAAAGAGATGATGACAAAAGAAAGAAGTGATATCAAAGTTTGAAATCAGTTTCATAAGTAATTGAAGAAATATGGACGAACGACAAAATGAAAGCAAATGATTACAGACACAGATGACCAAAGGCCGAAGCTACAAAATGATAAGCAAACAAGAATCTCTGATGATTTAGAAGAATGTGCTAAAAATAGAATAAATGGCGGCACACAATATCATGACGCGAAAAATTTGAAGTTTGGTATAAAAAAGAAATGCAGTCTCATTAAATGCATAAAGTGGGTGTGGCAAAAAGTTGACAAGGAGGAGGCAGTTATAAAGTTATCTTCGAATGAAATGATAAATCCAAAAATTAGTTCTGTATGCGTGTATGTGTATGTGTGTGTGTGTGTGTGTTAAATATTGAAAAGTTATCGGTCCGATCATGAAAATAATCCCTCCCAAAATACCTCATACATAACAATATACAACACACACACACACACACACATATATATATATATATATATATATATATATATATATATATATATATATATATATAGGTTAAATTCTACTATACTTCTAGAAGAATGACCCACATTGGTGATAAAACATTTATAGATATAAAAGTTTTGAACGTAATCGATATATATATATATATATATATATATATATATATATATAGGGAGAGAGAGGGGGGAATAATGGTAAAATAAAGTTAACTGTTTTAAATTCAATACTATGTCTAATCAAATAATAAGAATTTAATCATACTCATACATTTATCTATAAATTTACATATTTTAGTCTGTTCATCTACACATTAATTATCTATGCTATATGCAACTTCCTTTGAAAGACTATTGCAATTATTTGCTTCAATTATATATTACTTAGTCTTCATTTTATTGACGTAATCCATCTCACTTTGTTAATATCTCCCTGACGATCGCAAAAGCGTGAAACCCAGGGTCACAAACTCACATCAATCCAACCAAATATGTTAGCTCTATCTCTGATATTAAGCGCTTTCTAATAAGTACCGTGCATATAATACATAAAAATATATATATATATATATATATATATATATATATATATTTATATTTATATACACACACTTTTCACACACATATATATATACATATATATATATATATATATATATATATATATATATATATATATATATATATATATATATATATATATACGCATCATGTTTATACACATCTGTATATACGACCTAAGTTTGAAAGCGCTTATCGATTTTTTTTTCTAAAAATAAATCTTAAAATACGTTTAAGAATTTTGATGCTGTGTCGAAGTGTCATAACTCACGAGAAATTAATGCATATGGATGGAAATGAAATACGGACAAAGAGAAAGTAAAAATACTAATGTGATTATGTGAATGAATGAGTGAATAAAAGAGCGGGAGGGAGAAATAGAAAGTGAAAGAGAAAGTGAGAGAGACGGCGGTGAAAGAGGAAATAATTGGAAAAATAATCAAAGTTGTCGTAAGGGCGGAGAAATTCCGGAAATTCTTTGAGATGTAGAAATAAATCCCATTTGTTTTTTGTTTGTTTTTTTTGGGTTTTTTTGTTTTTTGTTTTTGGTTTTTGGTTTTTGGTTTTTTTTTATCCAGTATTCTTAGATTTGATAGCCACTTGAATCTCAGCCGGCGGGTGTAGATTAAATCGTAAAATATATTTTCAAAAGATAAAAAAAAAAGAAACGAAGAACATTTCTATATCGAGAATGATATTAAATTTTTGGCAAATATAGTGTGTTGTCTCATATATTGTCTGTGTATTTCAAAGTTTTTGCTTTGACATTATGGGAAAAGAGAGAAGAGAAAGAAATGAAGAAATACGAAAAGGGAAATATTAAAATTTAATTTCATAAAAGTAGCGGAACAGAATATCAAGTAAAGGGAATTGTGGGAAGAGGAGGAGAAACAAAAGCTGTGGTTGTAAAAGTAAATACCGAGGGAAAATGAATTAAGAACAGGAAAATATGTAAAAGATCGAAATAACAAAAGACTAAAAAAAATAAATATTTCTTTTAATAGAATGAGAACTACATGTAAAAATGAGAAATAAAGCAAGTGGAGAGAAAAGTAATGTTATACAGTAAGAGAAAGAAATAATCAACAATTGTAAAATTGTTGACAGCTGTAAAAAGCCCGATAAAATACCTGAATAGAAAACATTAAAAAAATGAAGAAAAAAAAATCAAACTGAAAAAAAGCTTGGAAACGTTTGAATATTATTAAATATCCCCCTACCAAAAAAAAAAAAAAAAACACCAGCAAAAAAGTGGAAAGAAGGAAGGAGACTGTTAATATTATCAATCAAAAAGTTACAAAAAAAAGAAAAGAAAGAAAAATGAAATATTTTCAAATTAGTTGCCGTTTTTCTTTTACTTTTTTGTTCGCTTTTTTGTTTAAAATGAAAAATTGGGGATAATGACCGCTTAGAAGTGAAAATAAATAAAATTTATATTATTGTAAAATACTGAAAATTATGAAACGTGAGATGGGCGATAAATGAATCATTTCTTAAAATTTGTCAGAATCATCAAGTTAATAATAACGATAAAAAATGAATAACGAGCAAATCTGGGAAAATAAAGTCAGTTAAGTATTTCAAAACTCTTCTTATTGGATTAAGAAAAATATTCAGAGAGAGAGAGAGAGAGAGAAGCACTGAGTAAAATGAACAAAAAAAAATCCACACAAAGTTGAAAGTGTTCCAACGATAAGAAAGAAAATGAGAAAAAGAAAAACAAGAATACAGAAGATTACAAAAGGTCAACAAACAGGTGTTTAGCGACAATGTGTGAACATACGAGCAAATTCAATCTAAAGAAGATTTCGGATATTTTATCAGTCACAGAATTTATTATTCTAATTCTCTCCAAGAAGATTTAAATCTTCTTCCAATAGTCTTCTCTCGCTCTAACACACGGCGCATATATGCAAGTACTTTCATTGATGCCCACACATGCACATACACACACACACACACCACACATGTGCCTACGACAAACACAGTGGCATAAACATCATTCTCACTAACACGTACACACACGTTTTTGCTCGCTTCCATGCAAACGGTTTAAAGTTTTTTTGCATCAATCCAGGTTATATTCAAAACTTAATAAAAAATAAAAACTTTCACTCGTTCATTTTTTTTCTTCTCGCACTCTAACACATACACACACACATCCACAAGTTCAAAACGAAATGAAAATACTAAAATATGATCCATAATATCACGTACACACAAATGTATGTATCAGATACATGGTAACACTTCTCTTAAAAGAATACACAATGACAAAGACAAAAATGACAAACACTAATATAGGAAAATGAAGAAACATTCCCCTTTCACAAACGCTTAAAATGTAAAATTCATATGATTTTAAGTCAACTTCTCAGTTACACGAGAAACATCGCCTCCCTCTCCTTATCTTACTCCCCACTTTTATATAACAATATAGCTTCTCTTTCTGCTGCTGCCGCTACCGACAAATTACTTTCAGTGAGCACCAATATCCCTGCCACTGTCAGTTCAATGAAAACTACCACCACTGCTTTCAGATCTACTGCGCTTCGAATTGGTCTTTCCTGTAATTTTAGCATATTTAGAGAAATACATAAAATCCAGTTTTGTTATAGACAGACAAACAGAAAAATTGATATAAACAGACAGACAGACAGACAAATTGATATAAACAGACAGACTAATTGATATAGACAGACAGATAAGCCAGAGTGAGACAGACAGACAGACAGACAGACAGTGCGATACAGGTAAACAGAGTGATACAGACAGACAGATAGATAATTGATACTTTTCTATGGAAAAGTTCGAATTTTTAACGAAATTTTTAGACAAGTCGAATTTTACTAAGCTTACTATATACCATATGTTCTCAACTATAGTATAAACTTTAATGATCGAATTCACCACACTAGCCATAGCCAGAGATATTATCTTACTAGCCATCACCCGATAGCAGGTGTTTGCATATTGTTATTATACGGATCATCACTAATCACGCTATTCCTCTAATTGTATATGTTTAGAACGGACTGCTTTGAAAAAGAAGGATTGAACAGTATTATTTAAACCTGGGCACATCAGTATGGGGCAATGATTAGCGAAGTAGACTGATTGAACATTATTACTTATAGTGAACTCTGTGTCCCATAATTTTGGCCTTGTGCCAAAACTAATCTAAGTATAGTAAACAACTAGTAAAAATTACAACTAATAAAAATAATGAATTTCTTCCCTCCGCACACAAAAACTCTCTCTCTCCCTCTCTCTCTCTCTCTCTCTCTCTCTCTCTCTCTCTCTCTCTATCTATCTATCTATCTATCTATATATATATATATATATATATGCAAAAAATTGCCTAGGTATTATTCCAGAAAGTAAATGCAGGTGAACAGCAAAAAAATATGTATTTAAAATCAAATCAAAAAATTAAATAAATAAAAGGCGCAAAAAAGATTCATTTTATGAGATTTAGTAAAAAAGAAATATGTATTTATAATAATAATAATAATAATAATAATAATAATAATAATAATAATAATAATAATAATGACATCAATAATAGCTGTAATTAAAGAAAAATTAAAGATTATGATCGTTGGGTCTTGAGCATGTTCTAATTAATTTAATTCCCACTGAGATGATTATTGCGAGGATATTTACTTTATATTAATAGTTGTGAGTAATGAAAATGGAAAAAAAATCTCAGTAATGTATTTCGTCCCTAAATGGAACTTCTTCAGACCCATAATGGTTTTATCGATGGAGCTATACATATATATATATATATATATATATATATATATATATATATATATATATATATATACCATCGATAAAAAATATTATGGGTCTGAAGAAGTATATATATATATATATATATATATATATATATATATATATATATATATGGGGAAGAAACACAGCACATGCCGGTTAGAATGTTTACATCGCAACCGTTAAAAAAGCAGGGACACTTCCCTTTAAATTTAAGTTTTAAAACTTTTTAATGTCCGTTGTGTCAACTTCAATAACTTAGCTGACCACGTTGAACTTTCTATTACTTTTATTTTTATCGCTATTGTCTTTAAATGTCCAACTTTGTGTATAAGTTCTGTGAGAAATGCAATGTTAGAAATGCAGTATTAGTTCTGTGAGAAATGCAATATGTTATATTATCCCAGAATTTGCCGTAGAATCGAAAATTTTTAATCTGTTATATTAATTTGTACGTCATATCCTCCATTAACTGTGGTATAAATAAATGTATTTTTTAAACAAAAACTATTTCAAATAAAGACGGTGTTTTGTATGTGTGCGAAGTTTATAGACATAATTACTGGGTTAATTAAAGTTTGGCATATATATCCTTTTTTATCCTTAAAGCTTATAATGATCATACTACATTGTTATTGAAAAGAAATATTTTATCAATATGATAAATAAAGTTATTACTTGTTCTCACAACATCGGTGTTACTGACGCTGAACATTGGTCAGAGTTTGAGCATTTTTGCCTACAAGAGAGAAGATAGTATTATTTGATTGGTGCTAGATTGTTTCGTAAAAATATATATATATATATATATATATATATATATATATATATATATAATACTTTTAGTGAGTTATGTATTTAAAATATTTTAATATGTAATTAATCTGAACAAAAAAATACTGCTGTTTATATCATTTTGAACTATTGTTATTTATTTTCTTAGAAACGTTTGTAAAGGCGTCTATTTTCAAGATATTTATTCTGTGACATACACAATTGTGGCACAAGGCCTGAGCTATTGATTTTCTAAGCGTAGTATGGGGTACCCAGTGAGGATCGAGCTGTTTTAGCGAGTCATTGCACCAAGGACGTCTATTTTCAATACGGTGCTAGAAAAAGAAGGCATTTAAATGGAAATTATTTAAATGCCTTCTTTTTCCAATGAATACGGTTTCTAGCTACTGAAAAATCATGAAACTTTATCGGTTACACATATCAACAACATCATCTTCCGTATTATAATATAAGATAGAGAAAAACACGCATGACGTGAAAATAAAAAATACAAGTGAACGTCTATCGCAAAGACACAAATATTATTCGAATCATCAGATTAAATTATTTTTTATAAACTATATTTGTATTATAATTAAATAAATCTAGTCATAAGAGAAAACCTGGGTAAACGCATTCAAGCGTGATAAGTGTCAGTGATGTCAACAGGTTGCAGATTAGGTTTATGGCTCAAAGGTCAAGACTAAGGATAGAGTGTATTAAAACGTTAGATCGTGAATTTGTTGATAGTAATTGTTAGTTCAATCCTGGGTTGTGTATGGCAGACAAACTCCGTAGGAAAGGAACGAGCAATAACTGAACAATGCTAGTAAGAACAAGACTAGATGTGCCTGGACACTGAAAGTAGATAAGTCTAGCTCCTAGGATTCAGTTCCCTGAAGATTACCTGGATCGACCAGCACGCGAAGAAGACCGAAGCGCATTGTGATAACAACAACAAAGATGAGGATTCTTGTCCAAGTGGAAATAATAACTCTTTCCCAGATATTCGGACAACATTTAGTCAAAGACTGACAATTCTGTAAAACTTATTTCTAATTATCTTAAGAACGGATAAAGTATTCTAAAACAACTATTCTAAAATATTAGTTCATTTCATACCTGCGTATGTCATTTTCTTTCTTTAAAATAAATCTGTTTTCGAAAACTGAGTTTAAGAATGCAGAAATAAATGCTGATGAAATGCCCGATTACTAAAATATATAAACAACTGCGCACACGCACGCACGCGCGCGCAAACACACACGTATGTATTTGCATGTATATTTAAGAAATTAATATGCGTATACGTGTCCTCATACACTTGCTACAAACAGGGTTGAATCAAAGCCAAAAATGATGTGGAGAAATAAAAAGGCATTAAATAAAAACTATGTACAGAAAGATACACATGGAATGCGAGTTAAGTTGAATATGTTGTTAAAACTACAATAAATAAGATAGATAGATAGATAGATAGATAGATAGATAGATAGATAGATAGATAGATAGATAGGATCATAAGCAAATATACAGGTATAACATACGCGGATAGACAGATATATAGATATCTAGATATCGAAAGAACTTGGAGGGATGTCCCGAAATTAATTCTTCCAGTTTATTTCCATGGAAATAATAACAGATACAACAAGAACAATAACACCATTAGATAGTGTCAGTTCCACCGATAAAATAATATTTTTTCTACTCTTCATCACCTATGTCTATGCATTTTCCCTAGAACAAGAACCTGCCTGCCATGATTGTAAATATCAGCACCAGTGAAACCAACCCACTTTTTCACTACAGCGATGACGGTGCCGTTAAAAAATCTTGTTTGTCTTTTCCACCTTTCATTGGTTCAAACAGACGAATAACAATGGACCAAACGAAACTGCACGGTATATGTTTTAGGACAGTCGAGCCTACATTTACAACGTGATACAGTTTTTTAAATCAAACTGTTCAGGATCCTGACGTTATTATGCAAGTAAAAATTTACCTTCCATGATTCAGGTTGACTATTTCGACATTCAGCTTAGAGTCACGCGCTGTCACAGAGTTGATGGTTTGTTATGATTTCAAGAAATCCAAGAGAAAACATGGAATGATCTTTTCCTTTACCCGTTGATCGTTCCGTCTTAATTATTTTGGGAGGGTGGAATTCGCATGTCGTCACCAGTCGAATTGTCGTTTTGATTCCAGGTGTGATTGGTCATATCACGTCTCGTCTATTATGATAATATAGTCCCAGAAACTGTCATCTAGAGCTTGCAACAGGACATAAAGGAGATGTAATCGGGAGTATTTGCTATTGTATGAGCATCCGTTGGCCCCACCTTGCGAAATATATGTCAACGTTATCAGCATCGTTTCCAGTGCATTAAGCTCAACATTGGGCTCCGTGTACAGTTTCCTCTTTACAATTCGCACGGAATAGCGGATTGACGTATTCTTTAGGTAGGTTGACTGCTGTGCGAGTACACCCAGAACGTGGATTCTGTTTGCAATTACTGAAAAATATTATGTTAAACTGTGTTCTCATCTACTGTTTTGTCTCTGAAAACGCTCAGCAATCACCAATGAATGTCAGCGGGTGCATTTTTTTTTCACAAGGAAGAATTGATTGATATACCTTTGCTTCGTACGCACTTCTATGCTCGACGCCATTTTGCCAGATTTCTGGTCAGATGCTATCAGTAACACGGCAACATTTTATAAATTAATGGCGGAAAAATTCAGCATCTTTTGCCATAAAACCAACACCTGCGTCTGACATTGTGAGCCAACATAATATGAGGGATTACTTTTGGAACGAACCGCGTAAATAGAATCAGCCTGCGAAAAGTGGTGGAACCAAACTCTACTGCCAGTATGAATGGCAACCTACATACAAACACACATGTATCCAGGTTCAGTTGTAAATATTTCAGAAATAGATTAAGCAAACAAACGAACAAACGAAACACATTCCTCTACTTAGCAATCAGGGTAGTAGGCGCAGAGGAAGAATTCAGTGATAAGCAAGCATCGTTATTTTCTAAGTTCAAAGCCAGAACATTGGATTTGAACTTTGGCTACGTGCCACCAGGTGCAGACGAGTGCTGGCTAATGCATTTCTGCGCAGACGAGTTAGATATTGCAGCCATTCAACATTGGGTGTGTTCACTGGCGAAGGACCTGAAAATAGTCAATCCACTTGTTGTGTGTGTGTGTGTGTGTGTGTGTGTGTTTGACCCTACGCGTCAGTTTTGATTTTGTCTCTCTGCATTTTGTTTTCCGTAAACAGAAACGTGTCTGTTAGTACTAGTATATGAATAATATATATATATATATATATATATATATATATATATATATATATATATATATACGCATTATATATTATATAACAATGATGATTTAAGTTTAGAGTTTAGTAAATCAATCCCTCTTGATTATATATATATATATATATATATATATATATATATATATAATCCGTGTCACCCCATGCAAGGCAGTAAAGAGACACCAAGAACAAGTGATTAAACGGTGTGGAAAAATTAGGAACAGAAACATTAATAATGAACGAGAAGAGAAAAGAGTAATCAGGAGGACAATAGATAGCGATTGACATTGCCGTAAAATTTTTGCAGATTAAAGTTGGCTGTAAACCATGGATCTAGAAGTGAGTTCCGCAAGCGAGAAGTGCGAGAAAATAAACTGTTAGCATAGAGTTTACGGCTATATCTCGACAGCTCAACTGTAACTTGATTAGATCTTAAAGCCAGTCTAGTATTGCGCTTAATTTCGAAAAGTCGCTGTACCATAGCGAAGAGAGATATTTATTAGTAATTACTTACAAAATGTGGCACAAGGTCAAAATGAGGAATGGGGAAAAGGGCGTTCTTTATCTGTCTTAACTTTAAACTTAGCTAGCCACAAAACTGACCCAAACATATCACAATATTCCTAACAACAAAACAACGCATTGTTAATTACCTTTCTTACTACATTCACCATAATACCTCATTGTCTCCATGAAAGTCCTAACTAGTCCCCATATCTACAATTCATTGTCTGTGGTGGGTAGGGGAATAAAGCAACAATTTGAAAGACTAGCCCCAATGAGTATTTACAATATTGAAACAAAAGTATTTACAAGAAACCAAATAAAATAATGCTAGTAATAACACCCCTCATCCTTAAATGTAGCAGAAACATCAATTCACTGAACGTAATCAATGCGGGACTTTAATAATATAAAGTATTCATTCAACCCATGCACTCTTATCATAGCGAAGAGCTCTTCTGAACAAATACCATGAAAGTAATTATAGAAAAAATACACACACACATATGTTTGTGTGTGTAATATGTGTCTGTGCGTGTGTGTGTGTGTAATATGTGTGTGTGCGTGTAATATGTATGTATAACAAAATACTATCACAATACGATGATCAAATGTTTATGGTGAAATATCGGAATTTTGTGATTTTATTATTATGGTAACATAATAATAAAATCACAAAATTCCGATATTGCATTAAGATAAAGAAGATAAAGGATTCTAAGTGTCAGTCGTTTTATTTTATTTCGTGTAACTTTTATAATAAACGAAAACAATATCCTGGATCATCTGGTTGTAAATACAGACTATAATCGCAAACAACAAAAATAAATTAGTACCCTTAAAATCTAAAATATTCATCATAGGATATCGAAATAATGCTATCCACATTCATTAAGATTTCTTTCTTTAAATTATCTCTTGAAAGTGTATCTCGACAGAACCAATTAAAATGAAAACATCTGCTTTTCGTTGTACTCAGCTGACGTGCACAAGTAATTCTTATTGGGAAAGGATGTTTTGAACACGTTCCAATCAAGCTGCGGGTGTGTGTTCGATAAGGCACACGCCGAGATGACAAGAAAAAGCACGCTGCAATTTGTGGACTAATGAACGCGTAAACTAGCACATGCAGAAAGCACGTGTTGGCGAGCCGTACACCTACGCACACACAAACAAGGTCACGTGGTAGACCGCAAGTTCTGTTATTCAATCAAACATTTCATAACGTGTCGATCGAATAAACTGCGATCGATATCTAACAATCAAGTTTCAATAGCCTAATATCAACAATAAATATTTTCCCTACATGAATATACCATATTTGACGACTACTTCAATGCATTCCGAAGATAAAACGACTGAGTTTCGACAATCTTTCACTTGAGTAGCTTCCTCATTTGAGAAAAAAAAATGTATCAACATTCTGGATGTATAATCTTTTATTGATACTTGAATACCGATTACCCATCTCAGTCACCCTTCAACACCCTTTGACATACAAGCAGGCAGTGACATGACAAATAGATACGAACAATTTAAATTTCTAATTCTTTATTATTACACAGAAACAGAACAGTCCATAATTATTATTTTAAAAATGACACCTTATTAAAAAGAAATGAACACATATCATTACAGAGTAAATATCTAGAAAGAATATGAATAAATAGTCAACATCTAAAGTAGACGCGTTTTTTTTTTTTCAAATCACATATTCGTTGTGCCTATACTTAAGCAAATATTTGAATCGTATATTCTTTAAGTATAGTATCACATTCACTTCCAACATTCAGCATATATGAACAAAAAACACTAATATAACTAATTTTAATACACACTTAAACGACGTTAACATTTTAAGAATTAAACATACGCACATACACCATGGAGTATGCAGGATATACCAATAGATTGAATGAAAACTAATCAAACACAGAATTTAAAAATTGATATAAGTACTAACGCTATAAAATATATACGTGGCGTCTACATGATCAATGAAAACAAAACAAAAAATTGAAAGATAACTTCGCACCATTTCCCTTCCAACATTTTTGATTAAGCTAAATAATTAGTGAAATATTTTAAATTAAAAAAAAAAAAATTCTACTTGTTCCCTGTTTATTCTGTCATTTTTTTTTTATCTTACAGGTGTGAATATATTTAGATAAATAGGTCAATAGATATGAACATATTTAGAAAACGTCTGGCTCGGCCCATTTATATCACAGTATTCTTGACCAACTAATAAATTTAAGTTCAGTAAAAAAAAAAAAAAAAAAAAAAAAAAGCATCAACAATAAATCGGCCAAAATCCCCAACAAATCAACATTTATAAAACAAAAATGATTGTTCGAATAACACTAAGCCATTTCCCAACCATTAAACATTGCTGTAAAAGTCATTTTGTGGCAGACTAAATCCAACCAGTAAACATTTCACATTTATTTAAAAAAAAAAAAGAAGGAAATTACCTGTCATTTGTGTACTTCAGATTTTCAAGAAAATGCCTCTGGAAAGACAACCCATATAGAAAGACCAAACTATAAATCTGAAATTGTATTAACATCTCAACCAACTGTGTTTGGTTTTGCAAACTATCAAGAATCTATGGATAGAAGTGATAAGACCAGTCATGTAGACTAAATTTTTAGCAGCTCGTCTGTGGCAGGTATCCCAATGAT